ATATATGGCAATCATTGAAACTACATCCTCAGATATGTAAATATTGTAATCACTCCCTCCATATATGGCAATGTATGATTTGCATGAATTGTACTTACTTGCACGTATTTGAAAATATAATCATTGAATAATCTTCCGTCTCAGAGCAAATCTTTTGTAAAATGTGAACTAAATATGCATCTCTCACTTTTGCTGGAATAAGCACATATTTCTGATCTAGTTGTTCAACTGTAGCTATTCTGTAAGATAAAAAGCATCAATTGGTACAGTGAAATTCATTAAGGCATGAAATTTAAATATAAAATATTTATAAAACATACCCTGGAAGACCATCATATTTCATTTGAAACCAAAAAATACCCTTCCATTAACTCCATTAAAATCCATTTGGTAATGCACATTACCCATAAGCCTTAGTTTTCAACCACTATTTTAATAAACACTTAGAAATTTTATTTTGAACAAGTTATTGTTAATGACACAGTCCCTGTCCAAAATTGTGTGATCTGACATATCAATTTGATGCTGATGAAGTCATTGAGATTAGATTGAAACCATTAACAGGAGATGGATTTGTAAAAAATTATGATTTAGTGCTTTTACACGAGAATTGGACATTGGGCAGTCATATTGAATCAAATTACAAAAATAATGTTCATGTTGATGTATCTATTGGTATACTATCTTTGTACGAAATTTAAAGAGAAACGTTCATTGCATTCAAGAGAAAGTAGCATGGGTACCATGAAAAACAAAATGGCGGCCAGTCAGCCATATTTGTTTGAATCACGGAAAAAGTATGCTGTGCACCTATAACCAAATATGTATGATCATCATACCAAGTTTGATCCAAATCGGCCCAGTCATCTCTGAGAAACAGCTCCGGACATGTAAAAATGACGATTTAGCACTTTTACATGAAAATTGGGCATTGGCCAGCCATATTGAATTGAATCACAAAAATCATGTTGGTGCAGATGTATCTCTTGATATACTATTGTTGTAGAAAATTTAAACAGAAACGTTCATTGCATTCAAGATAAAATAGCATGGGTACCATGAAAAACAAGATGGCCGCCAGTCGGCCATATTTGTTCGAATCACACAAAAAAAAATGACTTGCACCTACAACCTCTGATCCAAATCGGCCCAGTCATCTTCGAGAAACTGCTGCGGACTTGTTTAGGTATCAGAAATAGCACATTTTACACCAAAATGGCCACCAGTCGGCCATTTTTGCTCTGATCATAAAGCAACTTGACGCGCATATGTAAGACATTATGTATTGTTTTCATGTAAAGTTTGAATAACGACTTTCACAAAATTTCATCCTAAGGAATGCCCTCAAACTATCCAAATGCTGAAAATAAACAGTATTTCAAATTTGAGTTTCGGGCAACACCGTTGAAAGTAAACATTGTTTGGGCTTGATAGTCAGTGCCCATGTATGTGCGAAATTTGTATTGTTAAAAATTGATTTTCTCATAAATAAATGTGCTATTTTAATGAAGTACAAACACAAATTTTAATGTAGACATGACGTGCACTAAATACCAACTTTGATATTTTGGAACTCTGTTGATGTGTTCCAATCATCCCAGAAAATATCTAGTTAAACCTTGGTAATGTCTTGTTTTTGTACTACATTGAACATTTAAAGACATTATCTTTGTATGTATGGAACTAATGTCTTGTACATGTGGTGTGATACACACCTACCCGCAACTATTTATATTTGGTTCAAAATAAATGCAGAAAATTTGATAAATGTCAAAAAGTGCAGAAATTGCATGATGGGAGAATGATGGGGTGGGTCTGCCATTACAGTATGTAATAAAATATATGAAAACCCTTCCCTCATATTTAACAAGTGTAAACAATTGAAAAAGACAAAACTTACTCTGCCTTGGACTGCCAGAAGAATGGTTTATTCAAAGCCAATGTCTGCAGTTTTTCAAGTTTATCCGTCAACGTGGCACTGAATAGTAGCGTCTGTCGCTTCTCGGGAAGAGCATCAAATATAACTTGAAGATCCTCTGCAAATGTGTCTTCTAAAAGCCTGTCGGCTTCATCAAGTACCTTGAAATAAAGTGAGATATCTTTAACCCTTTTCCGGTCAGGGGAGTTTCACGCTATCAGGTTAAGTCGTTGAAAAACGGTCATGATTCAATGCACTCCAGTAGCCAGCATCTGAGCATGCTATCCTGCCAGACATTTTTGCAAAAATAGGCCATAGTTAACAGACTGTATCGACCACAGTTTTCACATTTTTTGCAATCTGTTTGCATACACACTTCATTACCACCATGGACAACAATTTCTCGTATAAAAAAAATCACCGTTTTATTTCAATACACATTTTTTACTGTCGTTAAGTAACGATGTTTTGCCCTTTGTACAGTCTCA